ATTTGTGTTTATTTCCAAATTTTTTATGGTGGTTGCAAGATTGTTCAAATTTACCAAATCTGTACAGAGATTACTTACTGAAAATAACAGATCAAATATAAAGGTTTTTCTTAAGAAATGTTTGATAACTATTTGGACATTATAAAGATTTAGCATGCGAGATTTCAAAATTTTCTGATGCACAAAAGTATTTTTAATGTTAAAATGAAAATTACTTTGCATAACAGATAGGCAAGTTGTGAAAAAAAAAAACATGGGAGAAACATTGCTTTACAAACCTTAAGACTTAATAAAAAAATTAGATATTTTGCTTATTATAGCATTGTAATATTTACTGATAAACTTCCAAATTTCATTAACAATTGCTTACTAATTTAAAATTTATAGCATGAAAACTATAACAAGCACAAAATGGTTACGAGGTCAGTCTCAGGAACCGAGCCTGAGTTGAAAGTGTAAAACAAGTACAAAGAGATCACGTGGTTGGTCAAATTGACTGAGCCCGTGTTGAGAGAGTTAAAGACACAGGACTGCAATTTGGACATAAAAAGAAAATAAAACCTACTTCACCTGATATACCTTAGTAAAAGCTGCCCAGAAGAGCTGAGCAGTAACTTACAATGACAGGAAATCTGTTTATGTGTCTTCAAGTCATAAGTGGAAAATATAATCTTGAAAGGTGTTTTCTATACTAAACAGAAATTAGAATCTTTGCTACAAGAGAAGGGCTCATCTGAATAATACAGTTAATGTGATAGTTTGCTTAATGCTGTGAAAACATGAGACCACACCACCAAATGCAACAGTTGAAATAATTTAAAATGTGAATCTTAAATTAAGTGATAAAAGAAATAAGCAGATATCAGCAACCTCAATGATAAAAAAACCCCTTAAAATATTCTTTCAAGACTGTGACTGTAAAATAAATTCTCTAATGCTTCAAACTTGTCTATGAGAGAAACTTTTTAGCAAATAAGACACACTAAAAATGGGCAAATGAGGTGTTCAAAACCCAATCAAGCCATAGAATCAGTAAATGAAAAATGTAAAACAGCAACACAAACTCTTTCTCAGAAGCCAGCAGAGTTCTTAACATCCAGTACGAGCCACACAACAAGTAAGCAATTACTAGAAAATAAATAAAAGCTGTATGCACATGTGAAACTTTGATACAATGAACTTAAAGAATTATTTTTTTTTAAATCAAACGTTAAACCAAATACTAGCCTTAAAATGGGATTTAGATTCTTTATTAAGTACCTAGTATGAATATAAATTGACTTACTTTCGGTACACCTTTTCCATAAAGATACATTAGTCCAAGACCACTTTGACCAACTGGGTTGTTCTAGAATGATTTGAAATGATTAACTACAAAATATGCTCTCTTAATATATCTACAAATTACACGTTAATTATCATGAGATAATAAAAAACTGTAGAAAATATCTAATTTACATGCTCCTGACTGATACAATTCAGTGACCATGAACTGCTCACACAGGACTAGGAGAGAGCTGCTTTCCAAATGTACACACAATTTTCTGTTAAAATATGTCTTAAATATGAAAAACATAGTTATAACAAACAAAAATTAGCTTCTCATCTGATATATATTACAAACGTAAGACTTAAAAATGGAAGTTTAAAAAACTATACATGTTTACCACAGAAATTTTGAAATAAATAAGAACAAATGATCTATATATGTATGTTTAAAGAAGATACTCTGGAAGGTATTCATATGGAAGAAAAACAGATTAGGAAGTACGGTAGAATTCACTCAACATCTCAAAGAGTACATATCTTTAGGGGTGGACTCCTAATTCCAGAAGAATTATTAGAAAGCTCATAATAATAGTAGTAGTAGTCAACATAAAGATTAAATATTTTACACGTAAATTAACCACATAAATGTTTTAAAATAAAACAGTATTTTATACAAATATTCTAATTTAAAATAATTTTACCTTTTCAGAAGCCATGGAAAAATACTTAAATGCTGTATCATTGCTCTGCTCAACCACTGGACTTCCTTCCAAATACATCTACCATAAAGTTTAAAAATATAAAATTTATCAAGTTGAAGATACTTTATATTAAAAAAAAACTTTATAAAGTTTGCTACTTAATGTAATACTTGGTTAAATCAGCATAATTAGACATAAGTAATTTCAAAATTAAGATTACATCAATAAACAATGAAAATATGATGATTTATTGTTAAGTTACAAAATTAAATTTATCATTGTGACACATTCTTGTAATGCAAGTTTATATAATAAAAAATTAATACTTAAAGTACATCTATAACAGTGTTATAATAATGAGTTTTAAAATAAGACCACTTATACACTGTCTGATACTCCTAGTATCTTAACTTTTTGCAAGTCATTCCAAAACATATTAAAGTAAACTGCTCAAAACAATTAAAGAGCAATCATAGTTTTCTATATTCTATCTATGACAAGGAACAACTACTGTTATGAAATAATGCCAGTCACCCTAAGTCTATTTTATGCAAAACAAGTGACTGGTGATGTAAATGTCTGTTTGGGAGTACAAGCAATGATCACAAAAATTTGCTACTACAGCAGCTGATCACCTCAGGCACTAAACTAAGTCATACATCAATATGGAATGCTTAAAAGTAATGAATCAATGAGCTGTTTTCAGTTCATGAACAATGCTTCAAAGTGAATCAGGTGTGCCCAGATTCTTCCAGAAGGAATTCATACATGCTTATTTGGATCCAAATGCAGTGAGCCAGAGCATTCTTCAGGAATGCTGCCAACCAGTTGAACAAGGTATCATAGATAACATGAAAGTTTCTGATGAACTCCACCTACTAATGGTAACACTAATAGATTAAATGCTTGTACCTGTAAACATTCAAGTGCCATGTCATAGCACATAGACTAGTGAAGTCACTCATATTGATCTCTCTCAGTGAAATTGGGGTTGGTTCTGGTCTCAGCATGCTCCATATGTGCACATTTCTTGTATCTGAGAGCAGCATGAAACATAATTCTTTTATGAACAAGATATTCTCTTACATTTTGTTTGACCAACACTGACCAGTAAAGATGGGCTTTTTTGCAGTGATGGGTAAGAGGGATGCTCATTACTGATCATATGGAACAAAAGCCAGCCTTATGAAACCTGCTTCTGACTGTTTGAATGCTAACTTATTTTCCTGTTGCTGATTTGAATCGTTGATTCTGTTGAAAAGCTGAGACCTCCTGGTTACACTGTTAAATAGTGATTGTTTTTTGGCTTGACAACAATGGCCCTTGTCCACATCTTTAACTTGATGGTCTGAAAGTGATTTCACATCCTGCTAAACACATTTCGTGAGAATTGTGACCACCCTTCAATGACTTGTTGCATTTCACCAGCTTGTAGTTGATCTACTACCCTTCACATTATGAAAGTTTCCAAGAACCTTTGTTGGGGGGGGTCTTGATATGTTTCATTATCTGGTTTTCTTTACACACACTGCAGTTGTTCAAACTACTAACTGAAATCAAAATATTTTTTCCTTCACTTCTATATACAACTGAAAGTTAGCATTTTCCTACATTAAAAACGTATTTCTGATAGATAGATCATCCCAAAAAAACTTTTCTCAAATTATACTGCCCTCTCTAAGCACAAATTTTCGCTTGCCTTGATACTCCCACCTACCCTCTGTGTATTCATGTGCACCATCTGAATGCTATCATGTAAATTATCATGCAGCGGCTCTTCACCAATAGGAGTGCAACACAACTCTTTATCATCACTAGCACTCTCTCTTTCATGCAACCTATAATCACTTTGAGTGGGAAAAGTGAGCCGAGGAAAGTATCTACAAAAAATACATTTCCAGTGTAGGAAAATGTTAACTTCCAATAGTATATCTTACCTCTTCTCACAAATAGCTAAAATCCCACACTGAGTTGGTGGAGAGCCCAGGGAAAAGATGATGACCCTTCAGAAAGCACCCAAAGGAAAACCATAGGGTGTGCAAATAAACAAAAGTCAACACACCTGTGGGAGATTGCACCACTTCTGAGCCAGGTATACTATTCACCAGCATGAAATTTTATTGCAATAAGGGTGGAAACAATAGAGGGAACTCCACAGCTTAATCTTGTGTGCACATTTAACCTGATCATCATCATCATAACCACCAGGAATTGACATCCAGGGGGAAGTAGGAAGGTGTACAGCAAAGTGAGGGTGCATCTCCAGTCCATAACTAGGTGGCATTGTTAATGTATTGTTTAATCCATTGTAGAAGAACTGTAGCCAGCCAAATACATATGAAATTAAGAGACCCCAAGTGTAGAGTGGCTAGGGCTTGTCAGACTGCAAATGGAAGATCAACCTTACCCAACACCAGGTCAACTGTGATAGGGATATCTAGTTCATGGTAGGAAGAAGATTTCTTGTCTCTCACCTTTGATATGGAAACTGGTATGGAAGATGACTTTCTGTACCAAGGATCAGCATTAACACCTTCACACACATCTAACACAACCATCATAATATCCACCTGGCACTAACATCCAGAGGATGGTAGAAAAGTGGACAGTAGGGGTACATCTCCAGTCCATCAACATATGGCAATGGGAATGTATTTTCCAGTCTGCAGTAGGAGAAGGGTACCAGACCACACATGTGAGGATTTATATGGCTGGTCCAGCTCCAACCATCACCATATCAGCTGGGAACTGCCATCCAGGGGATGGTAGAAAAGAGGGTGCCTCAGCTGGAAGGGTGAACTACATGTTGACAGAATACATGATCCAACATCTGACGACATCTGGAAATGTACATCAAGTCCACAGTAGAAAGAGCATCAATGCCATATTCACCAGCAGAACACCACCACCCTACTCTCTCTCAACTGAATGGGAATAACCACTCTCAGATGGAAGTGGCAAGGACTCCCATACTCCACCAGAAGAAGGGGAAACAGCACACTGGAGAATCAAGAGGAAAGCTGCCAATCCAGTGATCTACTAGACATGGATCATCAGGGATGAGCAGCAATCCCCATCTGCTTTATTCATGTTAGTCCTTAAGTGTACGATCCCTGAAAAACATCTTTTTGATGCAAAATACCGTGAAGCATACCTACAAGTGGTCTTGCGGAACACTCCATCTCAATGGTGAGTGTGTATGACTCCCACGTCTTACAGTGTGGATTTAAAAATAAATATACCTGGTCAGGCAACACTCACCACTGAGCAGGATCAAACAATGTGACAAAAGCCCCTTCAAAGAAAATGAAGAAAAAGAGTGGCAATTAATCACTCAAAGAGATATCATGGAGCACAAAATGGTGATGGGAGGAAGATGAAACCCCATAGAAGAAGAAACAGCTAAATAGTGAAGATAATGAGAAGTAAAGGTATGGTAAGTGGTTCAAATACTGAAACTAAGAATGTCCTCCAATGGATGATGTAAATGAGGAACATGGTAAGGCAATGAATCTGATGAGAAGATACAAGGAAAAGTCAACATTTATCAAAATAAAGGGAAGAATAACCCAGGTGAATCAACTGATGAATCTAACCCATAAGGGTAGTGGGAGAAAGGTCACAGGACTGGGAAGGATTCCAGTGAAATAAATAATGAGAAGTGGGAACCACAGAATGATTCAGTGCTTGCCATGTAACAGCAGATAGCCCTGACCAACAGATGAGTCAATTAGAATTGTAATGGTCATAAAGGTGAGATATGGAAGAAAGGGAGAGAGGTGTGAAGGTGGAATTACCCTCCAAAGCGACCAAAGTCCTGAGCAGTAAAGAACGATCAGGAAAAAGAAACACATAGGAATTGTGAAACAAGGTGTGGTGAACATCAATAGTGAACACATCTGAGCATCCACACATCAACAGGAAAAGGAAATAGGTCTTAAAAGAGAGATGAAATAAATAATAGGTGAACAAGAGTTCAAAAGGAGGGAGGGTAAGGGCATGAAGGATGACATTGAGGTTCCAATCAGGGGAGGATGACAGGTGATATGGAGGGAATGTAACCACTAGGAAAGGACCAGCGAACTGAAGACATGGACATAACATGTAAAACAAGGCTGACAAAGCCATGGGATAACCTGCAACACAGGAAACCGAAAGGCCCCTGTCAAAAAGCCAGTTCAGAAAGGAAGGAATGTGGTGAGGGGTCATAAGGGAAGGAGGGTAATCACAACATATGGACAAACAGCAGTAAATGTACCACTTTCTTTGGTACACAGCACTGTAGAAAGGATGTACAAAATGGGAAATCCTGGATGCCACACACTGTGAAAGTTTGGCCAACTGGGCCAGGGCCTAGACAGAAGTCAACTGTGAAGTCTCAGTGTGGGAACAGATGGATGATGCACACTGGATTGGGGCTGATGAAGGAGGGTGTGGTAAAAAAGGGAGATGAAGAGAAGGTGACACCAGTAGATGGCACAGGAGTGGAAACTGCAGCTGAGCTGGCCAATATGGAGCCACAAACAGAACCTGACATGGAGTGATCTGGATGATGGAAAGAATCTGAGGAATCAGATAAATGGGAGGGTACATATACAGGTGTCAACTTGACCAATACTGACTGAGAGCATCCACTGCTCTAGCCAAAGGAGGTGGAAAAGGAGAACAAAACTGCGGAGGGCTGAGAATTGAGATGAGTGGCAAAGGCGTTCAGCTCTGAATACCCCACTGGATATAGAGTTCCCAAAAAACCTGTGGGTTTAATTATCACTCCACAGAAAGAACTCTTTCAGGACATGATAAACGATTTGTGGAAAGATTCAAAACACCTGGAATATGACAAGCCAATAAAAAAATGTGATGGCTCTGGGTCCAATGAAGAAGATCCAATGTCCGAAAACAGAGGTCTCTTCACGAGTGCCCTCTTGATTGGAGGTGCACGAGACCACTGTTGAATTGTCAGAATACACCATCACCTACCAGCCCTCAATGACCATAACGAAATGAACCAAAGCCCAACAAACTGTGAGGAGCTCCAAGATACTGGTACAAAGAGAGGACTCTGAAAAAGTCCAACAACCTGAAACCTCCCGAGTGCCCAGATAAGCACTCCAACTGGAAAGAGAAGCATTATATAATAAAAGGGTGACATTCCAGATGAAGAAAAAGAAAACCAACAGAGGTGTTGTCTGCATTCAACCACCAAGCAAAGTTAATCTGTAAGGAAGGAGGAAGGAAGAGAGGGGCATCCAAGGGATCCCAAATGAGGCTTCATTAGATCAAGAAAACCCACCGAAGGCCATGCATTTGGGCACAACCAAGAGGGATGAAGGCTTCTAGAGAAGTCCACATCCCCAAAAAAGAAAGAGAACCTCTCACACAGTGGGAGAAAGACAAGATGAGAGGCTGTGAACTAGAAGCTTCATAGCCTTCAACTGAAGGTGAGAACATGGGCCCAACTGAGTAGAGAATTGAACAAACCCAAGATGAACTATGTATTGTGTGGAGATGAGGAAAGACTTCAAAACCTTCACCAACCAACCTGAGCTGTATGAAGGGCTGAATCGGTCTTTTAGGAAGCAAGAGGTAGCCAGTCATCCAGGTAATGGTGGAAATGAATGCCCTGGGAATGAAGAAGATGGGCAAGTAACCACACCATCTGACTAAAAATGTAAGGAGCTGAGGCAAGTTCATATGGAAGAGCCAGGAACTGAAACAAATCCCCAATAGACAAATCAAAGATCATTCTCGATGAAGGGAAGATGGGAATGTGTAGGTATGCATCCAATATATCGACCTTCATTATTCGCAAATCAGGAGTGAAAATTCAACAACGGTTAAAGAAGGACTCCGTGGTGAAATGTTGGAGGACTAAGAAGCAGTTCAGAGCCAACAGATTGATGGATCGATAAACAGACAGGAATAAAACCCCAGGAAAGAGGGATCTCTCTGTTTGGTGGCACCCTTGAGAAGCAAATCCTGAACCACCTCTGAAAGACACTGGCTGGCAATGGGATCTGGAGGAGAATGGATGGAAACCAGATTATGAGAATCAAAATGAAGGACCAGACCCTCTGAAACCATCTTCAGAACCCAAGGGTCCATAGCAAAGTCCCTCCAAATGTGGGCAATTATGAGGAGCCTGGCCCCATAGGAACAAATCCACAACATATTCATCAAGATTGTTGGTCCAAAAGATATCACTCCAAGGACTGACGATGAACCACGGGAATAAGAGAGAGGCCAGAACTGGCAGACAGGAAACAGGAGAGTGTGACATATAAACAGGTACAGAAGGGGTTTGGGATAAACAGAAGGCCAAAGAGGAAGGGGTGATATGCAATCAGGCCAACTCAATCTGGTACTTCAAAGAGTCAGTAATACCCCCAAAAAACCTCCTGGCAAAGAAAAGGTGCCATGCAGAAATCAACACAAAGAGAAGGAATACAAACAAACCCAAGGCAAAAAGAGCATCCTGACCCAAAAGTTCCCACCAACAGGTTAACCATGTTTGCAAAGCAAGGGTGGAAGAGTAGAGGCATGCTAAAGTGGAAAACAGGGAATTCAGAGTCCCCTCAGGAAACCCATCTAGGAAGTAATGAATAGCCTCAGACAACAGGTGTAGGGAGGACAAGGAATACAGAAGGGCTGACAGGGTAAGACTAATACAGTAAAACTGGGGCTAGGAAAAGGAAACCAAAGTATTAGGGTCAGATCTCCTCAAAGGGACAAGCAACTCCAAATGCTGTAAGTCTAAATATGGAAAATGAGAATGATGATATGGCAGAGCATGTCTGTCCAGAGTACATGGGGGTTGAAGCATACTGACACCTGAATGAAACTGATCCCTAAAATGACTCACCTGAACCCCATTATCAAGAGAGGGAGGAAATACTAAATACTGACTATGGGCTAGTCACTGAGAAGGGCAGGCATAGAATCATAGGAAATTGGAGATAAGGATAAAACATAACATACCTGATTGATTAAGTCTAGAAATAGGGAAAGATGCCTGAGCAAATCCTCCGAAATGACACGCAACTATGAGATATAGGCAGGAGGGGGAAACAGGCTGTTCAAATCCTCATCATCCTGTTCAGGCAATCCTCGCATGGGAGAAGAAGACAATCATCAGGTGACCCACAAGTGCATAAAAGTAGCTAACTCCCTATGAACCAGAGCCATTACTTCTGGCAACTAAAAAATTTTTCAGTGACAAGGCATGGGCAAAAAAACATGACCTAACAGTTAGACTGCCAATCGAGAAGTAATTACAGGCTACGTGGAAGAAAAGGCACTAGTGATGAAAGGAGTTGTGTTGCACTCCTACTGATGAGGACTGCTGTTTGATTATTTGTATGACAGCATGCAAATATCACATAAATACACATTAACGGTAGGTGGAAGCATCAAGGCTAGTGGTAAGCAAAATATTTCATATATAGACGGCAGTACAAGTCAAGAAATGCTATTTGTAATGGGAGGTAGATATTGTTTTCTAAACTGTATATCAGATAAAATGACAGGTTATTTAGCACTTCTTTTATACAAAAACTAATGTAGAAGTTTCATTCACATTATTTACTAACAGTGGTTGTTCTCTGTCACAGAATAAATAAAATTTCCATTATCCCTTCATTGTTTTGAGTAGTGTAGGTCAATACATATATGCAAATGCTTAAGTTTTACCTTTCCAAGTAATGCCATGGCATTAGCATTTCCTGCTTCAGCTGCTTGCGTGAAGTAATTCAAGGCACGCTAAAATATAAAGCAATCTCATTTATCACCATACTTTTAATATTAAGTATATCAGTGGATCTAAGCAATAATCATGTTGTAAATCTCATATATTGTTTTGTACATCAACTCAGTAAAGTTTAATTGTAAAATAAAAGAAAATGGTATGACATTAACAAAATTTATTTCTGTAATATAACATAAGCAAAATAATAAAAACAAAATATATATATACAATCCTAAGATATGGCTTTACAAACACACACATTTAGGAAGTCTAAAGTTCAAACTGACTGTCAATTTTGATATATAATTTTCCAATGTAATTTGACTGGCAGATTGTTATAAATCAAACCACTACAGAGTTGATAATAAAATATTTGTTATTATCTAGTTTTCAACTTTTAAGAACCAAACAACTTCATAAACAAACTTAAACCATGTAACTCAAAACAATTATTTAGCTAAAGCCACTAACCATGACCTGTTAATCTATCTTTGTTGTTGTTTTTCTACCCATATATTATTGTACTTGTGAATTCACATTTCCATAAAGAAGAAATTTGGAAACCTTAGTTTTCCCACAGAACATATATGATTTAACAAGACAATGAACACAAAAACAGATTAATACTTTGCTTGGTTTTAATCATACATAGAATATTTCACTGTTAATTGTAAGAGTTATTAACATTTGAGAAACGTTAGGAACTGCTATAAAACAAGTCTTGATGCAGAAGAATCTAAAGTAATGTAACCTTCTTTAAATTTTTGAAGGTGGTTCACATAGTATTAACAAAACTACAGGTCTTAAATAATTTTTATTTAATGTACTTAGTTTTGGAATTTAATGAAAGTGGGAGTACATCTATTTACCCTAAAACCTAGGGTATTTACTTTAAAATATGAAAAGCAATTTTGATTATATTTTTAATAGTTAATTTAATAGTAACAGAAGAACTGTACAAAATATAAAACTGACAGCTTTTGATACTTTCTTCTTATTCTAAGTGGTAATGTAAGAGCATTCAGTGTTGTTATATAAAAGTACTGATCAATTAAGACTGATTACTATTGTTGAAATACACTTGAAAAATTAAAAATTACACAGGCCTGCGATGGTTTTAGTGTCTTGAAACTTTTACATGTTCTACAATAGTTCCTGTATACTGAATCCAAAAAATATCCATTTTTCTCCATCATGTAAAATTTTTCACAAAACATCATATGTACTTTTTCATAAGTGAATCATTTTCAAAGAAATCAGGTCACAATTTGTTATACTTAAAATGTTGACAATCACTGGCCATAGATTTCTCTAGACCAATGATGACATTTGAGTCCTATTGATCAATCAAAAACCCACGAGAAACACACCACTAGTAATTAAACGGTTAACAGGCCGCATTACATGTCATTTCTGAATAGTATTTGTCTGTGCATACACTTTGACATTATTTTTTTCTTTTCAATACTATTTATTCTTCACTATGGCAACAAAAGATTGTGTAAATGACCCAAACATTTTCTATTATATTTGTGGTAAATCTGTTGTAAAAAACAAAGACAAAACATTATAAAATTTGTAAAAAAAGCATATTATGCATATTTTGGAATAAAACTTTGCACATATTTTGCACCATTTGTGTCAAAGAGTTGAGACAATGAACTAAAGGCAAGAAAAAGTATTTACCTTTTGGAATTCCAAAGGTCTGGCTATTTTTGCTCATTTAATGTGCAAGGCTACAACACTCAAAATAAAATAGAAATTTCTTATCCAAACCTTCAATCTGCTATAAGACCTGTTACTCATGGACCTGGTGTACCAGTACCTACCCCACCAGAAACTCTGGATACAGTTTCATCTGATTCTGAATTTGATGTCAACAGAAATATAATAGGGATTGTTTTCAACCTGAAATGTCTGGTGAACCACAACTTTTTTACACAAGGTGAAGTTAATGATTTGGTGAGAGATTTGGGCTTTCCAAAGGATTATTCAGAGATTTTGGGGTCCAGACATCAGGCTTAGAATTTACATTCTCCAGGGACATCATTTTACTGGTAAAGAAATCATGAGAAAGAATTTATACCATATTTTTTGCAACAAGGTTCACTGGTTTATTGCAACAATATTTCTGAATTAATACCAAAAGAAGTCTAAAAGTTGTTCTCCTTCACAATGGTAAAATAATGGGAGAGCAGAGCACAAAATCAGCATTGGACAAAGAAGCAATGGACATACAGAGTCAGCCTGATACCAGGATTGAAAAACATTGAATGTGAAAGTTTGGTTGACACAAAGAAAGTCCTATTACCTCCACTTCACATAAAATTGGGCTTAATGAAGCAGTCTGTAAAGGCCTTAGAAAAAGATGGCAACTATTTGAAGTATCTATGTGGGCAATTCCCTGCTCTTTCAGAAGCAAAACTTAAAGTAGGGATTTTTGTTGGGCTTAAGATTAGGAAGTTGACTACAGACGAACACTTCCAAAAGACAATAAGGAAATGTTATTGACAAATTTTTAGGAAACAACAAGGACCCAACTTACAAAAATATTGTCAATAACATTCTCAATAAATTTAAAGAGTTGGGTTGTAATATGAGCTTGAATGTTCATTTCTACACTCACATACTGAATATTTCCCTAAAATTTTCAGTGCCATCAGCGAAGAACAAGGGTAAAGGTATCATCAGGGAAATGGAGAGGAGGTATCAGGGAAAGTGGAACATCAGCATGATGACGGATTACTGCTAATCATTGAAATGAGATGCCCTAGACGTGATACATAAAAGAAAGACCATAAAACATAGTTTGAGACTAAAAGATGTAGATTTCACACAAAAAAATCAGAATGAATGCGGAGGCATATTCGTTTGACATCAGCGTTCTTCCTTTTTCTTCAGTTTGTTTGTATTTTTGTCAACAACCATAATAAAAAATGTTCATTGTGGTAAATGAAATAACAATTTGATCTAAGTAAGTTTTTTCTTTCTTCCTGATTTGTAAAAGATCCTTACGTGATAGAAAAAAATTAATATTATTTATATTCGATGACGAGGAACCCACTTTGAGACTAATAATGGTTGGAGATGGCTTGAATGGGTAATGAAGAAAAAAATAAGTTTAACATAACAGCAAATGTACAACGTTTCGACAAGGTTTTGTCATCATCAGGTACAAGTAATTTACAATGACACGGATATATATATAGATATATATATATACAGTATTGAACAAAGAGGTCACATGACCGGATATTGTTGAAAAAATTAGAAGAGATACCTTGGCACCTCGGGGTGTTGGTTTAGAGTAGGGTTGTTTTGTTCAATTAAGATGGATTCCTTGATTTTTCATTTGTTTATGTTGGGTTCTTTGTTTGAAATGACTGTGTTTTTAATAGATATACTATGGTTTTTTGAGTTGCAATGGTGAAAAACATGGGAAGGGTTTTTATTGTGTTCTGTTAATCTGGTTTCCAATTTTCTTCCTGTTTCTCCAATATAGAATTCTGGGCAGTTATTGCATGTTATTTTGTAAATGATGTTGGTATTGTGTGATTCTAAATAATTTTTGTTTAGTAACAATTTTAATTACGGCAAGGTTTTTGTGAGAATTGGACGTTGACAAGAATATTGTGTTTAATGGCTAGTTTTATCCAAGTGTGGATAATTCTTGAGCTGGTTTCA